TGCACATTTCATTGTAATATTTTGCTTTGTCATTCCGTGCTGCCTTTTGAAATCTTCTATTCAACTCTTTAGTATCTTGAATTCTTCCTTGTGCTAAGGATATGATTTTCTTAGGCATGCTCTGTTTCCTCTTTACTTCTATGGCAATTGAACTTCTTCTTGGAGTAATCTTTCCCAAAGAGAATGATTATATCCCTCTGTGTCAATTGTTGTAGGTACAGCAGCTTCAAATCAACATGCCACTTGGGATCTGTCTGTACACTCAAGAGCCACTCAAGAGATTGGCTATGCAGCCTGTTCCTTTATGCCAGGCTCTGGGCACGTGCTTCCCAGTCAAGACTACACATATTTATTAATGTATGCCATGAATGTTAGAATTAGCCAATGATATTGAGAATATCAAGGATCTATTAATCATTATCCAATAAGGTAAATCTGCTGAGTCCACATCTATAGGGACAAGGAGCTGATGGTTTCCGTCAGAAGGATATAGTAAGTCGCTAGACTATGAAACTGTGTGACAGATAGCCCATACTTGTAACTGATGAGTATATTAATAAAGTCTTAATACACCAAATCATCACCATCAACTTGGAACCGTCCATAGCAGACCTTCCTGTGGGTTTTCAGAGGCTATAAGTCACACAGGAGATGGCCCATCTTTCTCCCACAGGGCAGCTGGTGGATTCAAACCTCTGGAGAGGCCATGCTAGCGAATCTGCACTGCTACTCCCTATAGACCATGCTACCAGAACTCACCAGAGGCTTTATAAAATGGTCAAAAAAGTATTTTCTTGAGCTTTGCATTTTTGGTAGCTTTTTGTTGGTTTTTTTAAAAAAAATTTTAAAAACTTTTTTATTCATTTCAGTGAACATTTACAGAGACTTTGGATTTCCATTCATTCATTGTTGCACTTTTCTCCCCTCCCATCCCTCCCCCCTAGTACACTACCCTCTTGGGAAAGTAAAAGAAAAATTCTTTCATTGTTTTACAATCCCTCTCCCTAGGTCCACTATAGAGCCTTTGCTGTGGACTGCTGTCATGACAAAAATACCTAATAATTTTCCCCCTTAAACAGTTTTCTCCCTCATCTGTTTCAATGTAGTATACATTATTGAACCCATCTTTCTCAGTCTCCCCTCAACCCCGAGGTCTGTCCTGTTTTACAACAGTGGCACCGTGCAGTATTTGTCCTTTTGTGACTGAGATACATCACTCATCATAATGTCCTCCAGGGTCATCCATTTTGAATAATATTGCATGAGTGTCTTGTTTTTCAGTGCAGCGTAGTATTCATTGTGTGAATATACCACAGCTTGTCTATCCATTCGTTTGTTGATGGTCATTTAGGTTGTTTCCAACTCCTTGCTATTGTGAACAAAGCTGTGATAAACATGGGTGTTCAGTAGCTTTTTGAACTGAAGCATTCACTTGGAGAGTTTAGTTTCCTGCTTGCCTCAGAAGTTAATAAAATAATGTCAGTCAATAAAATAAAAGTTCATAAAATAAAAGTCAGTATCTTTTTGAGGTTTAAGCAATAATACCATATTCATCGTCACTTGTTACCCCCCTGAAGATAGATCAATGAACAATGAGGACCTCCTTGTGACATACAAAATGGGGCCAGACATCCTCAAGATGACAATGAGCCCTGGTCAGCATGATTGTGAGGTGACCATTACCTAAACTAGCCCATGCAGACAAAGATGCAATATGGTTCTTTTTCCTATAAAAATTTACCCTTGGCCTCCAGAGAGGTGGCATATTTGGCAGGTTCATACTTCCTGTCTCCTATAGATACTAAATCTCTTGACGCTCACCTCAAACGTCTCTCAAGTTAGCTTTCAGTGACAACAACAGATCTCTAACTTTCACTAACACTTGTAGTGCTGGATTACTAAACGTGCAAGATAAACTCTGCTTGGGTTTACTAAAAGCCTGAACGAGCAACTTTGCTGGTGTAGTTTGTAGAGAGCTGTGTTGCCAACCCAAAGGCTGTACTTCTCTGGCAGCTCACATTCACCAACGGTTCTGAGGGAGAAAGATGGGAAATCTCCTCCTGTGTGATTTATAGTCTCTGAAAAACCACTGGAGGAGCAGCTTTGAGTTAGTTCTGACTTCACCATGAGAGAGAGAAATTGATGACCTGTCATTTCACATTTTTTCACATCAAAGGATTCCATTTCTAGGTATGGTTATCAACTGTCTGTCCCCAACCCCATACTAACCTCTTTTCAAGTTTACAGTTCCTTGCAGAGCAAGTACTCAGTAGGTCTCCAGGTTCACAAATGTCTGATTATCAGATAGTAAATCTTATTACTGATGAAGCCTGTGTGGAATTGTTCTCTACAGAGTAGTGAACACAGAAAACCTATGCTCACCTTGATTATTAGATAGTCATCCCTGTTTACTGGCCCTTAAGCACTGAAACTTAAGACACTTGTTTCAGAACTGACCACAGCTGACCCTCTGCTAGGTTTTGGAGGCTGTAAATCACATTAAGAGAAGGTAGACATTGCCTACCTTTCTCCTGTTAAGTCATTAGGGGATTCAAACTGCCAGAGGGGCAGCCTTTGAACTGCAGGTACCTTTCCCAACTTGCCTATAATGTGATTTAAAGATACACTGAAGCTCATCAACAAATGAATGGACAGTAAAACCATAGTATATTCACAGAATAAAATACTATGCAGCGCTGAAAAACGTGGAACTCATTAAATATTACACAGCATGGATGACCCTGAAGAACATTATGCTGAGTGAAATATCTCAATCACAAAATGACAAATACTGCATAACACCACTGTTATAAAACAGGACTGACATGGGGTTGGGAGTAAACTAAGAAAAGAGGGGATAAATAATAAACATTCCATTGGAACAGATGAAGGAAAGAACTATTTAAACATCATTAGGCATTATTTGTATGACAACAGTCCAGAATAAGAGATGCATAGCAAACTGTACTGGGGGAGGGCTGAGGTAGGGATTGGGAAAAAATTATGCAACAGCAAAAGAATATATTTTTTTGGGGGGGGGTTTAGTTTACAAAATTTTTTTAAATTAATTTTCATGAACATTTACAGAGATTTTGGATTTCCATTCATTCATTGTTGCACTTTTCTCCCTGCCCACCCCTCCCCCACACTTTACTCTTCTCTTTGAAAAGTAAAAAAATTCCTTCATTGGTATACAATCCCCTCTCCCGGGCCCCTGCCCGAAGTACACTCCACTATGCAACCTTCATTCTGGACTCATGTGATAACCATAATTCCCTATCATATAACTCTTTTAACCTGTTCTCTCCATCTGTTTCAATGAATTTATTTCTTTATCTATCTATCTATCTATCTATCTATCAATCTATCTATTTATTAAGAAAGTGAACTGGAGGGAGCTCTGGTGGCCTAATGGCAAGAAGCTGCACTGCAATCCCAGAAGTACACAGTTTGAATCCACCAGATGCTCGGCTAGAGAAGGAGGGGCAACCTCCTCCTGCACCAGTCAGATTCGATTTGACGGTACACACACACAAAATAATAAAATAAAAAATTTAAAAAAAAGTAAACTGGGCATGGGTAGGGAGGAAAATGTGCAATAATGAATGAATGAAAATCTAACTTCTCTGTAAACTTTCATTTAAAATCACAGTTAAAAAGAAAAGATACACTTAATAATGGATCTCAGTGGTAAGTTAGAGATTGCCCATAATAGTAATTCACCATTAGGTTAGGCGAAGAGTTGGTGGAACAGCTTTGAACAAGTCTTCTTTATGAGAATGGGCTTGGTTCTCCTCTACAGTTTGTAAACAGCCTTAGTGAACTGGGCATAGGGGGCTGAGGACCCACCTCAATGAACTGGGTTTAATGGGCAGCCTCTTCCAGGAAAACACTTCACAAGACAGCAAACAGAATTGTTGCATTCGATTTTGAATACACAGAGCTTTTACAGGACTTGAGGGAAGTAGTGTATAAAGAGCCTGGAGGTGACAGTAGTCTTGGGAGCTGAAAGAATGATGGACAGTCTGCAGCCAGTCCGCTTCCCCTTACCTTGGGAGTCTTCCTTACTCACCTCCTTGCCCCTTTCTGTTCTGTTCACATAGTCATAATCACATATAGCAACTGCAACCAAGTAAGTTGGCATTCGAGGTGTGGTATAAAAGGTCGTAACAGTCCATTTTTTTCCATTCACATCTTTTTCAGTCTGACCTATAAAAAAGTATTTCAGTCCATATCACTGTAAGCCTAATCAATGAAATCCACCTTTGAAAGAATTCACCTTTTTCAGTAATTCACCATTAATCAATCTTCCCAACCACTCTTCACAGTCTAGCTATTTGAAAAACAACTCAATGGCACCTAATGATAAGAAGCTCTCAAATCTGAAGCCTAGATAGTTTAGCGGTAGAATTCTCTCCTTCCACTGTGGGGACCTGGGCTCAATTTCCAGGCAAGGTACTTCATCGCAGCCACCATGCATCCATCAGTGGAGGCTAGTATGTTTCTATGATGCTAAACAGGCTTCAGCGGACCTTCCAGACTAAGAGAGATTAGGGGAAAAGGCCTGGAAATCTACTTCTGAAAATCAACCAATGAAAACCCTGTGGATAACTGTGGTGCAATCCACAAATAATCATAGGGATGGTACAGGTCAGAGCAGCATTTTGTTCTACTATGTATGGGTTCTGCAGGAGTCATAAGCAGCTAACAACAAAAAAAATCTGTCAAAAACCACACAATATAAGAATAGTGTTGTGAACCCAAATCAGCCTTTTCAATAGGACGAGCTCCATGAATAGGTAAATATGACCTCCAATCTTCTTTCTTTCCCTTCTACCCATATCTACTTGGTTGCTATGTTCCATCAAGTCAGAACTGAACCTCTAATGGGTTCCCCTGCCCCAGTTTCCTTCTATGGAGGTGGTTGAGGTTTCTTTAATAATAATAATAAACAACTATTATTATTATTATTAAAATCAAGAGACTAAGTGCATTGGGAAAGTCAGCTGTGAGGGACCTCTCAAGAGTACTGAAGAGCAACAACTTCAGGCTGGAGACTAAGGTGAGTCTGATCCAGGCTATAGTCTTTGCAATTACGTGCTATGCATCAGAGAGTTGGACAGTGAATAGAGATGCTAGAAAGAGAATTGATGCCTTTGAGCTGTGGTGCTGGAGAAGAGTGTTGAATATACTGTGGACTGCTAGGAGAAACAGGTTTGTCCTGGAGAGGGTGAAGCTGGAATGCTCCTTGGAGTCAAGGATTCGGAAGCTTCATCTGATATACTTTGGGCATGTTGCAAGGAGGGACTGGTCCTTGGAGAGGGACATCATGTTTGGGAGAGTGGAGGGATGGAGCAGGAGAGGTAGACCCTTAATTAGATGGATCGATTCTGTGATTGGGAGGGTGGGAGTGAGTGTGTCGGAGACGGCGAGGTTGGCACAGGATAGGGTAGCATTTAGGGCTCTTGTACATAGGGTCATTATGAGTCGCAAGTGAATTGATGGCATATAACAACAACAATTATTATTTTATTGTGATTTTAACAAAGGTTTACAGAAAGGTTGGGTTTTTATTCATTCTTTGCTGCACATTTTCCTCCCTCATCAACTGGGTTTTCAGTGACTATTAATGACACAGGACGTGACTGCCCATCTTGTTCCCTCAGAGCATCTGGTAAGTTTGAACTGCCTATTGTTGAGTTGGCAGCACAACTCCCTACTCTCTACACCACCAAAGCTCCCTAACTATGTCCTAGTCTAATTCTACCCAGACTCATAGTCAATCAATAGGTACAGTTCTATCACTCTTGGGATTCATCTAGTTATGTGGTAAAGGCAGTGTGGGGCCTTCAAAGCAGAAATCACAAATTCAAATGTCTACGAGGGCAAGACACTCAATGTGAAATGGTCAGTGTCAGGGGGAAATGAAACATTGGCAGGTTGCAGAGCTCAAGCCCAGTCCATGGGCAGTACCTCTCGCTGTCAACTATGAACTCCAAGCTGAATGTTGTGAGTTATTTTGAGGTTTTGAGGAAGTTAAAAAAAAGCTGTACTTTAAGTGAAATCTCTGGAGTTTTTAAAGTTTGAAACTAATTCAATTAAAAGGAAAAAGTCATGACAGCCAAATAAAACACAGCTGTGTGACAGAGCCAGATGGAGTCGACCAGCTTCTTATCATAATGATCAATAGTTGAAGCCCTAACTTCTTCAAACTTCTCAAAGCTTCCACTTGTAGGCTGCCAAGAAATAAAACCAGACTGTTTTAAACAATATATATAATGTCCCAGTATCTAAGACAAAAATAATCAGGAATTATTGTCTGTTAGCTGGAGGTGCTGACACATACCCACATGGCTATTACCTTCAAACGTAAGTATCTCTGTGGCTACCTCTCTCGCTAGGACCTACCTGGAGGCGGACTACACTGATGTAAATCCAAAACCGAACTGTTTGAAGATAGCACTCGAGTGTCTTTTAAAATCACTGCTTTTCTTGTGAATTTTCAAAACAAAACAAAACAACAAACCATACACACAAAAACCCAGAATATTTTGTATGAGGAGGCACTCATAGAAAAATCGTAAAAAATGTTAAGCAAAACTTGTAATACACTACCAAAACTTGTAGTACATTGCCTAAAAAAGTCATTGATATGAAAGCTATTACATATATGGTTCTGTGTGTATGTGCTTATATATGTCTATATACTTAAGAAATGTGATGACAGGAAGCATTACTTACCCAGTGTTGGCATGTTGGAAAGGACTACGTAACTTGGATGATGAATAATTGTAATATTAAAGGTTGCCTTCAGTGCTGGCTCGTCAAAACAAGGAAAAACCATCCTGGCAAATGTGGGCTCCATTTGAGATGCCAAAAGAGCCCTGAAAAATATTTGTGGGGGGGATCTATTTTTATTTCAATAAATTAATGGTACACACAACACACACACACACACACCCCAAAGAGGCTATGGCTTATAAAAACTGTAGAGTGTAGGAAAGAGCTAGAACACTTTCCTCTCACCTTTCCCCACTGCCCTCTTCATAACACACATACACACACAAACCCCAATTCTCACTGAAACTCAAAATTCTTGTAAGACCAGAAATTTTTTTTAAAAACTAAGTTTCATTTTCAATAACAAAATAATATTTGCACTATTACATAATGGTTTTGGTCAAACATTCTTCTAAGTGGCATAGCACTTGGTCTGTCCATTTGCTGTACAATGGTTGTTGTGAAGCTGAACACTATGACACTGACATGTCAAATGTGATAACGGTTACGCATAGTGGACAGTGTTTGGTGGAGCTCTCCTACTAAAACAAGCTTGGAAGCAGGAATGGCATCCACTTCTGATATAGCTTGGCCCCAGAAACCCTATGAACCTGAAGAAATAATGAAAGTTATACAAGTGTTCAGGTCTTTCTTTCATAGGGTTGCTATGAGTCGTCTATGACTCGATGGCACTTAACAACAACAATTACATAATACACCTATTAAACTTTTCACAAACAAAATAGATCAATTTAAGTAAATATGCAATGGCTTGGGAACCAGATTTTTTGAAAGTGAAATTACTTCTTTGGCAATGTCTGAAGTTTCACTCTCCGGTACTTTGGTACCATCACCTCAAGAATGTCTGCTATTTCCTTTTTTTCCCCCTCAACAAGTCCTCATTCTTTCAGATTGAAAACTTATAAAAACTTTCACTTTAAATACCCTCAGAATAAATACCTGGATGTCCCTGGAGGTGCCAAACGCACAAAGCAATGTGCATCTGGTTAAGCAGATTAGATCTCTGCTGTTCCCCCTTTTCTATGGAAAATTACGAAAAAAGGATCCTATCACACAGCGTACTGATGACTTCTAGAAAAGGCTTTAGGGACAAAGTATTCTGAGCAAATCAGGAAATTACCAGGTCCTCCCTCTGCAAACGTGATCTGAAGTTGTCTGTAGCAAGGGTCCCAGTCAACAACTTTCTCCTCAAAATCCAGCTGACAAGTGTGGACGCTACAGTCCTTTTTTCTCATAAGGCCCAAGAATTTAACATTTCAGGGCTGACACACTTACCTTTGCTTTAGGTTGTTTTTAGATAAATAGAGGGTGACTTCAACAAATGTAATTTATTAAAAGGGACTATCCCACCCATTCGCCACCTCTGTGAATTCCTCTTCCACCATGATGAGACCTGCACTCCCAGAAAAATTCACACAGCTTTACGAAGAGCACATACAACAAGCAGCCTGTTCAAAAACAGCTCAGTAATCATGTCTCCGTAACCTCACTGTGACAAAACTGTAAGTACCAACGCCCTAATTTGCTTGCTCCCTTCTTTTCATGCTCTTGCTCATACATGTGTAAAAAGAGGCCTAACACTAGATCCTTTGGTGGCAGAACAATATTCTACTGAGCAGTGCTAGACAAGTCACTTAACCCTGAGGAAGAGAGACTTACCACTTAAAAGACAAAATCGCATGGCTAGAAGTGACCCATTCTTGGAGAAAGGCATCACGCTTGGAAGGGTAGAGGGACAGCAAAGGAGAAGAAGACTCAAGATGAAATGAATTGAAACATTAACTAGGGTAATGGGGGTAGGTGTGTGAGAGACAGTGAGACTAGCTCAGGATAGGGCAGGGTTTAGAGCTCTTGGACATAAAGTCACAATGAGTTGCAGGTGACTCAATGGCACATAACAACAACTTATGGGGAACTCTAGTAGCCTCGTATGCAAGGAGTTGTTCTGCTAAACCAAAGGCCAGGCTTCTTTGGCAGTTCAAATCCACCATTCACTCCTTGAGGGAAAGACAGTAACCTCTTCTCATTTTGTTATTTACAGCCTCAGAAACCCACAGAAACAGCCATGAGTTAGTTCTGACTTGACAGCAATTCCTTTTTTAGTATCTGCTTATATTGTTGTTGAACTTCATAATATTTTGAACTCGATTTACCAATATACAACTCTTCAATTCTCCTACATCCCTTTCCAATCTCACAAACTGCTCTTGAAACAGGCGAGCTATTGTTGTTGTATACTGCCGAGTCAGAACTGCCCCATAGCTGACACTTCAGCAGGTTTTCGGAGGCAGTAATCACATGGGAGGAGATTATCCATCCTTAAAACAGGGATTATTATAGGATAGGAGCTGGAGAGTTAGAAATGACTAATTACAAATGCAATATTCAGAAGTTCTAGAGGCTACATTACTGCAATGTTACTGCAATATCATTCAAGTTGTCTCCCTAACAAATTTCAAGCTACTAGAAATTGCAGAGTATATATTTCTTACTCAGTACCTTTTAAGACACTTGGAGTTTGTCGCTATTTAATAAATATTTGCTCCACTTTGGAGTAATTGTAAAATAAAGTCATAAAGGAATACTAAGTACATCTGTAGTTTGTACTTCTGGCAATTGGCTTGCAGTTTAGGTTGAATAAATATTTGGTCAATCTTGGAGCCTCTGTAAAATAAGGCTAAACTAATATTAGGACAGTCAGAGTTTGCTTCCCTAGCATTTGGTTTGCAGCTTTGGTGGCTGTGTTTATAAAGGCTGGGATAAAGTGGAGAAGATGTGGTCAGTTGACAGAATAAAAAAAGAATATCAAGCCTACTGAATTTCTGTCAAGATCTGCACTCAATTTACTTGCGTTAACTGTGTGACTCTGAGAACATTATCACAACTCTGTAGACATCTGTTTCTATAAAAGCAAAGATAGCAATATCTGCTCTCAAAAGGTACTGAGGAGGTTGTAGAGAAACTGGAA